AATACAGAATTTTAGTTTGTCTATATTATAGAAGAACTGGTGGTATGAGGTGAAAGAAATGGGGCTTGGTGTATGTATTGTTTCTCGGATTCCTGGAATTTAGCACCGTAATACAACAAAAGAAATGGTCATAGGACTGTGTATTTTTTGCACGTGGTGTGCAGCTGTTCAGGAATCCCCGTTTATGACCGTTTGTTGACCGTACGACCGGTCCAAGACGCGACGATTGCTACGACCATCGCCTACCTGCGTTAGGTCGCGACAGATTCTAAAAAAAATTACAATGTCCATATAGAAATATGTGATTCAAATACGTTCTTTGTTCACTGTTTGGGACTGGTTATCATCAAATACATTTGGCCATGAAATTAACACATTCATCGTGATGAACAGTAAACATTAAATATTTCGTAATTATATTGAAATATTCATTGACTTCAGAATTCCTCGTTAATAAGTTGTCAGTGATGAGGAGCCGTCGTACACTCATCGAGGATTTACCGTACTCCGTTTACGTTACGTTAGATCAAGTTCTCCAGGTTAGATCAATTTTTTTCCAGGCTCGAATCAAGTCTCGCGACAGAGATGGGCAAATTCATTATCTAGATAAAAAGTTTCGAATAACGAATAAAAGATGAAAACAATATTTCGTTATTCTTACTTGATTGAACGTGGTAATTCCAATTTTTATCACAAAATAATATTTCTTCTTGAATGACTAGACACTCTGCAAACCATTATTAAAGGTCAGGATGACAATCTTAGATACTGCTGCTTCTCACTGTGTATTATTCGAATAAAATTGTGCCCATCTCTGCCAAACTGTCATTTACATCCGAAATTTACATTTGAATCCGATAAAAACGCGTAATAGTTAAAATTCTAGCAGCTTTCTGCTCGAGAAACACAATCATGCTCGATAATAATTCGTTTCGGCAGCACTTTTTCAACTTCCGTCGCGATAACAACACCGCCGATTAACCGATGCGCGCGACCTGGTTGATCGACGAAGGAGAACGCAACGTGGGAAACGAAAGCCTCCGTTGTTGTTTTTTTTTTCTTTCTTTTTTCGTCGATGTCGCGTCCCCGCGGAACGATATGCAAATCCGTCGCGAGATAGCATTCTAAAGAGCGTACGATACCGTCTCGCTTGAAATTTTCGAGGCGTTTCGAGGACGGAAGTGGAGGGATATACGGGCGATGCGAGTGACACGTGCCCTGTCCACCGTCCTCCTTTAATAAATTAAAGGAATTTCCGTCAGGCTTTTTGCAAGAAACTCTTTCAACCGAATTATTCTCGAATATTATGTACAATACTAATATACACCTTGAACGAACAAAAATTATCAAACACCATGGTTACAATCAACCCTTCATTCACAATCTCTGTGTTGAATCCTTGATTAAATTTCCGTGAACGGGATCGTCGGAAATTTAAATAACTATCGTAATATTACGTAAAATTCAAGTAACTAGTATGTAGAGGAATTAAGATGTGTATATATTTATTAAATTTTCTTTCGTCTGAGTTATTAAATAGGAATTTTTACTGTAGAGACGACGGACAAGAACGCAGCGTATCCACGAGTAAAAAAGACACGGCAGGAACGACGAAATCGAGGTTCGACGACGGAAAATGTCGAGGGAGGAGGCCGTCATTCGCCTCGACGCATTGAGATGCAAATACGAACCGCGGTGGCTGGCGTGATTTACGAGGGACAGACGTGTCCATACGCGATTGGGACAGAGAGAACGTTTCTGGTCCTCTCGAAGCCGTTCGGGAGGGGGCAACGGATTGATAAGATCTGCTTAAAACGGCCACAATAGCCGAGGGATTTTATACAATCGAATTGTCGCGTCGTTTGGAGAAACTTGGCCAGTTTCCTCGATCGGGTGGCTTCTTTCACGACTAACGATTTTCTTGTTCCCCCCTTTGCATTCGAATGAAGATTATCAGTGAAGTATGCAATCGATGGTTCACAGCGTGAAAACACTCACACTCCGATCTTTCTACTTATTTCGTTCTCAATATCCTACTCGTTCGTTTAGATATTGAAATGCGACTATTTCATGCGCATAATAATGATCTGACTTTTTTTATATTTATGCAGTATTTGTCTCCCTTTTTGGGAATGTAGTATTAAATACGTTTTTCTTATCCTTTCACGTGTATTGTATTTTTATTCCTTTTTGCGATTCAAGAGTGTTTATGAAGCGATATTTATGTAGATTCTAATAATTTATTAAGCTATCCATACAATCCATATTGGTGCATCCTTGAGTTTCTAGGTAAAGAGTTTCGAATAACGAATAAAAGATAAACAAAAAAAATTCCTCACCATTTTTCTTTGATCGAACATGGAAAACCCGATTTTTATAATAAGATAACACATACTTCTTGAACGAGTAGACACGTGGCAGACAATTATTCAATCTCATTAACTGTTCAAATGTGTTATTCGAATACAATTCTGTCCAACTCTGCTGAGTAGAGCATTCGAATTCGATCGAGATGTCGGATATAGAACCACCTGTATATTGAAATAACTGACATCAAATCGTTAGAGAAACGATTTTAGAACGAAGAAATAGAATTAAGTGTAAGCCATTCTAGTAAATCCTGTGTATACTAGCGGTACCCCTTAGATACAATAAATTCTTTAAAAAAATTATCATGATAATGAAGCGATCTTTCCTCAATGACCGTAAAGTATCGTGGTTCAATTCAAGGGAGCCGAAATGAAATTTCGGAACCGAATGATCCGACAAAAAAGCCGATAAATAATTCATAACAACGCGACCGTATAAACAGACGAGATACCGTCGCGCAAGAAAGCGGACGCGATCATTCCAAATATAAACCTCGGGCGTTCCAGATACAGCACGAAGTAACGTCACGGCGTTAAGAGGGAGGGAAAAGGGGGATGACCGATTGTCCAAAAAATCGGCGATTCTTTCCATCCGAATTGCGGCGTGACACAGTGGTCCAGAACGATGTTTAGTAGCTCAAATTATAGTAGGATAACTCGTGAAACCACTTCAGCTGCTTTTGAGACAGTATTACGATCTGTTGTATCAGTTCAGTATTTTTTATTAAATGTTGATTTTAGTGACTGTTTAGTTATGGATCTTTCTTTCCTATTCAAAGTACTTGGGGGGTTGATAGAAACTTTATATTATATAGTGCATTTTAGTTGTATTTGTTGTGGTCCAGATTTTATTCCATTCTTCTTTTATAGTTACTTTTATGTGGTCACGAGATCCCGGTATGGTATTAACTCTTTTAATACCTCGGAGCTGATACATCGGCTTTATAGGTTTTCCGAACAATACCTCGAGCTAATATAACGGCTTCTCATTTTGAATATAATTGAAACACATGTAATGACACTTTATTTTTATAAAATAAGCTTATACAGTGGAACATACGTCTCCTGGGTAGAATCAATAAAATTTGTAAAAAGTGAAAATATCGGTAATAAAAATACGTCTTGTAAAAAAACAAAAATAATACGTATCCCTTATTTTTGACTGCTTAACAGACACACGAAGTTTCATCAAAATCGTAGGGGGACACTTCCGTGCGTTTCCTTGTGAGATTCATTATAACTAAAATTCCTATACTTCAAACTAAGCTTTCAGAGCCCCTAAAACAGCGTTCCGAACTGCGCGACAGATCGAGTCCCTCCCTCTCTCGCTTTTGGGCCAGCTATAACAGCCGTTCACGCGGCATAGTACCGTACGTCCCGTTTCCCGCGGTTCGTTACATAAATAAAAGCGGCGCTCGAGAATAAAACGCGCACGGTGTTACGGACGGGGGAATGAGAAGGGGGATGGGGGGCGACGGCGCGATATCCATTCCGTGCAGGTTGTCGCGAGTGCAGTTTCGCGACTACCGGCCCGAGCGTATTGACGCGCGTCGGATTGGTAGGCGCGCGGGTTAAATCGAGCAGACGGTAGCGGCGTCGCGACGCCGGCTGCGCGCGGTCACGCAGCCTCCCCCGCCCCTTTTTTCTCTCTCTATCCTACCTTTACGAGCGTCCTTGTCCCTTCGACCCCTCCGTTCGGTGTATGGGGGACGGTGGGGGTGAAGCTCGGCGAGAGGGAAAATTTATAAAGAGGGAATGGAGGAGGTAGACTACTTGTTGCGCGTCGCGGCGCCCTCGTGAATTCGCTGGCGACGCCACCGGCGACGTCGTTACCACCACCCACCTCCACCACCACTACCACCGGCGTCGTCGTAGCCTCCGCCGGCACCACCGACGTCGACTCGTGACGCCGCCGACAAAAATAGACGTGTCGTCGCGACGCAACAGATATCATTCGGCCTCGACTGACTCGCGCACGGAATTCTGACGAGCAGGCAGTTCCCCACCGCCCCTCCCCCGCTAGATCCATCGTTCTGGTGATCGTTAATTATGACGGAGCTATCCTTCTTGGGTTTTATCTTGAGCTCGTCGATGGAAAACTTTCTTTCGCGACACGTACCGAGACGATTTTTTGTTGTCGCTTCTGTTCGCGCGGGCTTGGTCGCGTTGGTTTGACGGAATGAGCGAAGATGGGGATGTAGGTTTTAAAAGGTTCATCGTAAACTTGGCGACATTGTCTGGAATAGTATTTCAGCGCGATTGAAAATTGACTTTTCGAAATGCAGCCGAATCTGTACGCGGGAGAAGAAAGAACACTGTTTGGGGAATTATTTTACTGGAATTTTTGCTGGAGTATTGTTACCGAGTGAATAAAGAATGTTAGGGATGTAATTAGTATCATCGTCGTTGAATCGATTTTCAAATCGTCAACACGAGTCTGACTCGATGTTATAGATCAACGGGTTAAACATTGAAACAATAACGAAATTCTGAAATAAAACAAGACATTTAGGGTGTTCGGTTATACTTAGGACACCCTGTATACAAAACTCCCGACTGAACACCGATGACGAACGTGTTCATTCCGAAACCGAAGCAAAAAACAGTAAAACAAGGATGAGTCCCACTGACCTGAATCTGATGTCCTGGATTGTTGATGTGTAGCTGCTGCGCCTGGTTAATTTGCAGGGACGATGTGCCGGGTCCCGAGGGAGGTCTCGGCGGCGTGGAGCTCGTGAAGGGTCCTTGGGATCCGGTTTGATTGGGTCCGGCACCCTGGGATCCCCTCGGTGGAAGCGGATACCCTGGACTGCCATGATTCGGCATCGATCCGGGGCTACCACCATACGGCGAGTACTGTTGCTTGTACCCGCCGCTGGGGCCAAGCATGCTGGGTTTGCCACCTTGGGCGGGTTGCGGTCTCTTCATGTCCGCCAGGCCCGCGGCGAATTGGGTTTGCGAGCCGACAAATATGTCGTTCGCTTGCTGGCTCTGGAATCCGGATGTTCCGTTGTTCTTGTGATAAGATCCGGTACCAGTATTCGCCTGGGACTGTCCGCCGGGTGGGCCGTTGCTACCCGGGCTGCCCAGGTAGTCCGAGGTGCCGCCAAATTGCGGGAATTCCGCGTAAGGAGATCGAGCGGTTGGTCCTCTAGCAGCGGCGGCTGCAGCAGCGCTTGGATTGAATCCACCGAGACCGAGTTGCTGGCTTTTGTGCTGATGTTGTTCGGCCATTTGCTTCAGGGTCTGAGCGGCTGGGCTCATCTCCGACTTGAAATCCAGGCCGGAATATGGTAGCCTGGCGGGCGAGTATTGAGCCGAGCCGAGGGCACCAGGACTGGAGTTAGCAGGCAGGGCATTCCCGTTGTTCGTCGGAGCGCCATTGTTCACGCTATTGCTATTGGTGTTCCCGTGTTGTTGGTGTATCGCGTCCTTGTCATCCTCGATCTTGATCTGGCCGTTGTTCGTCGCGATGCTGTTGTTGTTGTTATTGTTCGCGGCGGCTGCTGCGGCGGCGGCGACCGCCGCATTGTTCGCCAACGCCTCGACCGGTATCTTGTCCTCGAAGTCGAAGTCCTTCATGAACTCCGGATGGAAATCCGAGATCTCGGAGATTAGATCTTTGAACGCGTCCGAGGTGATGATCTCGTCACCGGTGTCGTCGCCCATGAAGTCCGAGAAACCGGGGAAACCGGCGCCGTTCGCCGCCGCGTCTTTCTCGAGGGCTGCCGCGCATTGTTCCAAGTCGACGAACTCGTTGTCCGGTTCTTGTTTGCACTCGACCAGGTTACCGATGTCCACGCAACCGATACCACCACCGGACGCTGGGCCACCGGTGCCACCTCCACCTCCGCCAGGCCCACCGCCACCGTTGTTCCCAGTTTGGGCCCTCGAAGTCGCTGACGCAGGCGTCTCGGGGCCAGACTTTGGGGATGAGGATGCGTTCAACAGGTCGCTCTTCACCGAGGCGTTCGTCAACGCTTTCACGGTCACGTTCGTCGATATCTGCTGGGCCTGAGAATTCGCCGCCGACGTGGTGAACTCTAATTGCTGCACGATCTCCACCGAGAACTTGGTCAGACCCTCGTTCCCGCCGCCACCACCACCGCCCCCGCCGCCGCCGTGCGTCTGCCCCGTTGAATTCGCACCATTTCCAGGCGGATGCTGACCGTGGCCGTGATGAGGCCCGCCTCCACCTCCGCCACCTGGACCCTGCTGATGCTGATGCTGTGCCTGGGTGCATTGCAGCTTCACCGGGGGCTCGCCGAAGCCACCGTCTCCGCTACCGCCGCCGGATGGCTCCAACTCCTCGGCCGTCCTCTTCACGAATTTTTGCTGCTGAAACGGGAAAAGACGAAGACGACGATTAGTCACCCGCGATTAGTCGTGGTGCTACGCCATAAGGCGTTGACTGTTGGGTGATCGTTGGTTAGATTCGTGGGTAAGCGTTTAGGAAATCCTATGGTGTATCTAACGAGACGAGTCAGTAGAAAGAACCAAAGGATTTGCGTGCTAAGCGGCAACTGTCTCTGTCCCTGTCCCACTTAAATTTATTGACTCGACTTGTTGGATTAGGTACAAAGTTAGAGGTTGGAGGTATGCCCTGGGTCAGAATGACAACAGAGTAGACAACAATCCTCCTAAGAGTTGTACTTTCGAAAATTTAAAACTTCAATTCATCCCAAAAGGTCCACAGGAGGGTCCCATCACCAGCATCCACTGTTACCGTACTCTACCTAAGAATTCAGTTCAAGCTACCCTCGACCCAATGTTTCCACCATCGATTCTATTGCCCCATACAATACTAATCCATATCAATCACAACATATCTCATCCACCCAGAGTAACGTGCAGGGTTTAAACTCGCTCGAAAACGAATCTATCACCTGAGGATGCTAAGGTTCAATATGTACCTGCCACCCACGTAGACATCCCATCCTCCTGAGCCCCGTGAACGGGCGGTAGACGAAGGAAAAACTGAAGGTACGCGGTAATGGCTTCTAAATCCCGCAGTCACCCGGGTTTCCCCATTAGAAGCGTGGCGCGACCGGTCGATCAAACGGACGAGCAACCGGCCGCGCATTCTGCTCCGTTGGTCAAGGCAAAACGCGGAGTCCTTTAAACTTCACGGTTTTTCTGGCCGCCTCGCGAGCCTGGCAACCGGTAGCGCAGGATATTTAACTCGCGATGCCCAGGATGCCATCTCGTTCCGTTGCCCGTTTCTTTCGCAATTAACCCGGCAATTTCTCACCGTGGCTGTCAATACTGGCCACGGTTCTTTCAACGGCGCGTCTTTGTGCGGAACGCCGCCTGACGCAGAGCCTGTTTTATCCCGTGGAGGACTCGTGTTCTACGCCACGGGTCGCGTAAGTTCTCGATCCACGAAACGGGGTGACTCGTGGCGCGTGAGTCTATGCGTTCCGTTGGCTCGATCGGAGAGATAACGACCCACAGATCGTTTATCGTTCGTTACGGTTGCGAGAGGCTTTTGATTTACTTACACGTCGATTTCTTAATTTATGGCCCAGAGAACGGACGGTTTGTTGGACCACCTTGTTGTATCGTTATTCGATACTGATCGATTCCCTGAAGGATTTCTTTTTAATATTCGCAGAATAGGGTGTGCAGATATTCATTGAAATGATCATTGAATTTTCCTAGCCTGTTTCATAAATCATTCTGAAGTAATGGGTCGCGTGACATGTTGTTAGAGAGGAAATGATCTAGCGTCGGTCCAGTTAGTCGACAACAGCGCTCGCGAAGGAAGGATTGGAGAACGAATCGGGTTGAGTTATGCAGAAAACTACCAACCCTCAAAATAGCAAACAAGTTAGTTAAACATAGTACGGACCCCATAATTCTGTGCTCTTTCAATTTTCAAAACAATTACCAACCCATAAACCAAGTCTTGCATTATACAATTATTAAAACTACCAAGTCGAAGAAAATTAAACGTACAATTAAAGTTAACTATTGAAAATATAAAATAAAATATAAAAATTTTAATATTGAAATATAAATAATAAAAAACACTTTCAAACAACAACAAGTAAAATATAACTAATAGAAATAAAGGTACTATTTTTTTTAAATTAAAATCTCCAAGCTAAATTTAGTTCGTTTCAGATCAGTGAGGGTTGGTAGCTTTCTGCGTAACTTGGCCCAATTGCATCTTCGAGTAATTCCGTAGAACAAGACCATGCGCGATGATCGATTTTTCACCAGCGAACATTTTGACGAATGGAAAATTTCCTGGAGAAATGTTGGTCCTTCCGTCTGCAAATCCAGCTTCAAACGGAAGAAGCTCCCCACCGGCGTCGCGACGCCACGAACACCGTGAGGGCTTGATGGAATATCGTATTACATCAGCAACAGACACGCGGGTTCTCTCTCGTTCGAGACGCGACGCAGGAACAGGGGATATGTCCGATGCCCGTAGAAACGTAGGACGCCCGATTCGCTATTAGAGGGTAATACGTATTATCGATTTTGGAACGGGGCGTAGGTTATCCCGGTTCAAATCATGACAAATGTACAGCGGTGTGTGGCACAGACACGGGACCGCACCCTGGAATAACTTCTTCCAATCTTTTTTTCTTTCTTTCCTCCCCTCTGTTTCCACCAGCACGAAAATACTCCCTCGATTAGGAGATCGAACACGGAGCTGCGTCTGTTTCGGAATTTTGTTCGATTCCGTGAATATAAATAGAAACTTAGAATTGTCTGCTATTGTCAGAGTGTTTGAATCCATAAATTTCGTACGCTCGAAATGTTTAGAGAAGCTGGCATGTTACGCGATTGAGAAATGAAGATTCTTAGAGGTGCCCAATTTACAATTATTTTATTCAGTGATCTGGTTATTTATCTTTGTACTTTATTCTCGTTATACAACTCTAGAGTTATAAATGTCCATCTATCCTTAACATGTACTAAAAGGGTGACATTGTTAAATGAAGTATCTATATTAAGTTAGGGTGAAAGTAGATAATACGATTAGCTAAACAAAACACCTCACCATTGCTTTACCCTTTCTTTTTTTTAGTTTTGTCAATACTACAATAATAACTTTTATGCAAACGGCGATCCCCCACTGAAACCTTCACAATAATACTCAGAGTGATGACCTTGACGATATATTAAAAAATCATCGAAATCGAAGATGGCTCCCTTATTGTAAATATTTACCACATCCATCAGTCTGCTAAATTACAGTAAATATAATTATAAATAAATACTTAATAAATACTCAATTATAAATAGTTAATACAGGGTGTCCGAAAAAAATGTATACACTGTTTAACGGGTCATAGCTTTCTGATTTTTCTTTCTTTTCAGGGTGTACTCAATTGGAAATAATGAGTGGATCAAGATTAACTATTGAAAAAAGAAAATTTATTTTAAAATGCTATTGCAAGTATGAAAATGTAGCAGCAGTACAAAGACAATATCTCAGGGAGTTTCAGGCAGATCCACTTTTTCTTGTGGGGATATCTTAAAGATACGCCAGAAAACCGACGACACTGGAAGAATTAAAAGCCGCAATTGAGCAAGAATGCGCCACAACACCAAATGAAATGTTTGTTGAAGTTTATGAATCAATCCCAACGTTATCAGCAGTGTATTGACCAGAACGATAATAATTTTGAACGTAGGAGGAAAAGTTATACATTTTACGTAGATTCTTTTGAAATACAAATATTAATTATATGTGAATAAAAACTGAAGTTATAATCATTCAAACTGTGTATACATTTTTCGAGAACACCTAAATCCCCCTGTTCCCCAATCTACTCCAATTTCTCTCTCACGGTTCTCCTCTCTAAAAGAAAAATCAACCTCAATATCGAAAAACGCGATACCACCTAAGATTCTCGCTGCCCGAGTAAAAAAGTCAAAAGGTTCTCGGCGTAGTCTGAGTGCACCGAGTTTTCCCCAGGACCGCCATAAATTCCGGTGTTACATGGGCCCCTGGTTTCCCGTGTTCGAGAGTATCGACGCTGCTGGCCGAGTCCGCGGCCGGAAATTGCGGAGAAAGCGCGCGGGTAATGCAGACATTTCCGTCGCCTCTCGGCGGAGAGCCGGAACGCCCGTATTTTTCACCAGTGGAAAAACGAGAAAGCCGGCCTGGATTGTGTGTACGTAAGTCGTAATAGATGCGAGACGGGATCCCGTAGAGTAGTTTTCGGTCCGGGCTCGAACCGACGCTGCCTTCAGCAGAGCAATTTCGCGGCGTAAAAAAGTGCACCGGAGAGTCCTCGACGGATAACGGGGAGCGAATATACCTCCTGGTGGATCCTACGACGCCCTTTTGATCTACTTTCCTATTTTTCTTAATTTTCGCACGACTACTCTAGAAGTAAGACAGGCTGAAGGAGTGGCACCATCTTGAGACGCGTAAAATTAGGTTAAGTTTTGGGAATTTCTTCCGTAGATAATTTACTAATATGAAAAGTTTCGAGCTTTTGGAGAATATAAATTGTAACTTTCAGTTTTATTCGTTGATTTTTTTCAAGGGAAAATGTGATAAAATGATGGAGTTATTCGAGGTAATTCTGAAAGCTTCTTGTGCTAGATAGAACGTCCGAAATGAAACATTTTTGGTTTATAAATAAGTAAGGCAGGTATTATCGACGATGTAGCGTTGGGTTTTTCAAAAATTTTAATAACCATAGAAATGGTGACAGTTCGAAGAGGAAAGCTCTTTTTTTGCAACGAAAAATCAACTAAAAAATTAAATAATTGAAATGTCGAACAAAATTCTAAGTTTTACTGTAGAATAGGGTTATGTAAAATATTCCCTTTAAATTTGAAGATAATCGAATATATTGTCCCGATGATTTTCTGGCGGGCATGTCAAAAAATATAGTTTCCAGAAAAACACAAGAAGGTTTCGGATAAAATTCTTCTGCGTTAAAGAAGAATTTTTTAAATATTCACTGCAATCAGCTATTCCTAAATATATTTTTTTTTATTGAATACACCGTGTTATGTCTACATGAAATATAGAAAACGTGAATTGTTGTTTCCCATCATCAACAAATTAAAACCAATAAGAGGAGAATATAAATCTCCCGTCAACAATGTACTAACTAATTATTATCTCCCATTGGAAAACATTCTTTGGACATTTCTATTCATTTCATCGAATTCCCCGCGTTTTTTCACGAACGAACCCCACATTGAGAAAGGAAAAAAAGAAAAAATTATTCGAATTGTTCTTGTTCCTTTAGCACGCAACCGGAATATTTTCGTGAAACGTACATAATTGGTAGTTCGCGCGTTTCCGGTTTAATTCCGATTATTCTGCCAGCCTGGCCGTGATAATGAAATGTAAATGC